GACGATATCGTGCTGCTGACGAAGGATGTCCAGGAAGGGGACACTCTGAACGCCATCGCGCTGCAGTATTGCTGCTCGGTGAGTCCCCCGGCGCTTGCCGCTTCTTCCTGGCCCCGCGGTGGGAGCCGGGGCTCTGCCCAGGAGCTGGCCCGGTCCCTGGCTCGGCTGGGCGAATGGGGCTGTTATCCGCCCGTGCAGGCAGGGCACCGGAAAGGCCGTGCTCTTCAGAAAAGCGTAGAAAATGACGGCAGAGTGTTAGTGCAACGGGGCAGATGGCGCTGGAGTTGCAGTTCCATAGGCTTTTTCAAGCTAAGACACAAATGTATGGTTTTGCTTGTGGCACTCTCTCTCGAAGCGTACACATTACAGTAAAAGCTGTGCACCGTTACACGTGGGCACTTGCCCTGGCTTTGCTGTCAGAGTTAGCAATGAGGAGGGTATTGATGAACCACCTCCTGGGTTTGTGTGGAGCCTCGGTTCCATTAAGGGAAGGGGGGAAAAAAAAAAAGGCACTGTAGTTTTAATTTCTGCTAAGTCGTCTAAATATTTTTCAGTATGAGCATGTTGTACTGCTGGCAGGTCCCTGCCCACATGTCCCAAGCGTTCCCGGCTGGTGCTCAGACCTTGATACTTCCAGCTAAGGGTTCTTAAATTAGTCCCGCGAATGTCCCTCCTAGCTAGTACTTTTGGCTGGCCAGTACTAATTAAGGCAGAGGCTTCTGTATGCACTGATGCTAGCCTTTGCGCATATCCAGTTTTAACAGGAAATTAGCTGTGCGTGTTGGTGGACTGAGTGCTAACCATGCAGTTTTCAAGAGGTCAAAATCCATATTTGCAGAAGTCTTGCTGTCAGCTAATTCATCAGGCAGAATTAGGGGCCTCCAATCGTGAGCTTAGGTACCAAAGTCTTGACATAACTTTCATAATCATGACAGACCTTAGCCTCGTTAACCAGTTCTTGGCTTCAGAACCCACCACAATTAGGTATTTTGATCAGGCCTCAGATAAGAAATAAAAGATAACTGAGTTGTGCTCTTTCTTCAAAATTTATGAAGAATGTGGAAGAGCAGTCCAGGGCTTTAGGCAGAAAGTGTAACTTGCATTGTGGTGGAATCACTAGTCACTGGGGTAAATGCTGCACTTGGCAGTCTTTCATGCTCGTCTTGATTTATTCAGCATGGTACATGTAACAAATACACCGTCACGGAAACTGGAACGCTTTTTCTTGTTACAAGGTTAGTGCAGGCAGTAGGCCCCAATCGCCCTGACTTACTTTTTCTGGCCATGTCTGCGTTGTAAGCGGAGCAGTCACAGCAACAAGGGTCTCTTGACTACCTTGTCTTCTGTCTGTAACTTCTCCCGAGGTAGATGTCCTCCTGATGAGGACAGGAAGGATCTGAACTCAGGTACTGTGCATCTTAAAAGTGGGCACAATTCCTGTGTGCTTACCGGGTGTTGCAATAAGGTACTGATTTTTAAATACTTCATTGTGGTGAGGTTTGTGGCTGTGCCTTCCGTGTTGAGGGAGTTGCTGTCTCAGAATGAAGCCATTAATTGTCCAAGGGCACTTAAATCCCTGTGGAATATTTCACATTAGACTTAAAATCTGAATTTATTGAGAGCAAAATGAGATGCATTTCGAGCAAGAACAGGGAAAGGGGAGAGCTGACTTGATGAGGGAAGATGACAGTTTTAAGCTATGCTTGGTTTCTGCCTTAGCCTCCAGACTCAGAAAGAGTATCCAAACCACAGCTGTGGCTAGATGAATTGGAAACTCATAATTTTTAATGTTCCTGACTCAGAAGTTTTGAATTTAGTTAGGAACTCACAGTAATTTGCTTCATTTGGAAACACTGAGGTAAAGTCCCACTCCTTTCACACAGATAACTGCCACTGACAGATGAATATACATTAAGTGAATATATATGCATGAAGTGACTTTCAGTCTTCTTACCTGAAGTGAGGAGGCTTGTTACCTTTTAATTACCTTCTTGCTTTAACGTTGTTCCGATCTGTTTTTTGACCTCTTCTCACTCCATACTGTTTGAAAGGGTATCGGGTTAAAAAAAAAAAAAGGCAAACGAAGACTAAAGGCCCTGCCTTTGTTTCCTTAGGGAAGAATTATGTTTCTCAAGGATGTAGTACTCTTAAAGAGTTTTGGTTCAATGGGGGTTTGATATTTAAACTGTTGTTTTTATTTTTAGGTTGCAGATATCAAGAGAGTTAACAATCTTATCAACGATCAAGATTTTTTTGCTCTGAGGTCTGTCAGAATTCCAGTGAAAAAGTTCAGTGTATTGACCGAAACACATGTCTCTGCAAAAGGAAGACCAGTCCTCCGGCCTGCTCACTGTTCCCCAGAAGTGCAGGAAATATCACCTTCTGATAAATTCTCTGCTAACGAGACTGCTGGCAACTTCTTAAAAGAAGTGGATAGAGATATAGAAGAAATAGTGAAGTGTAATGATACGAAGAGAGAGAATCTTAATGAAGTTGTTTCTGCCTTAGCAGCCCAACAGATCTGTTTTGAAACTGATGGTAAAACTAAAAAATGCAAGGATCCTTACTATGGAGCAGATTGGGGTATAGGATGGTGGACAGCGGTAGTGATTATGTTGATTATTGGCATAGTAACTCCTGTCTTTTATCTCTTGTATTATGAAGTTCTAGTGAAAGCAGATGTCAGTCACCATTCGACAATGGAATCTTCGCATTTGTTTGTCACAGCAGCATCGCATCAGAAACAAATAGAAGATGGAATAAATGCAGCGAATATTATAAATGTTGATAATTGAGGAGACCTTCAGCCTTAACAATGGAAAACCCCACGCAACTGTTATTCAGAGATGTAACGTAGCATTACATAAAGGGGAAACCACAGAACGCAAAAGGCATATGGAATGCAGAGAAAATGCATACTGATGTGTGACTTGCCTTTATGGGCAGTGTTCCAGTTGGGTATTTCTGTGGATGATGCTATCTCTGAATATGCCTGAGATGGGCAATTTTAATGCAAGGTTGGGATATAAATGAAGGTGTAAAATTGTCTCTGAAGCTTTGCACTTTTTTTTCCTATTTTGATAGGCATGTTTTTTAATTCATGATGAGGTGAAAAAATGTAGTTTGAACTAATACATAAGGAGTCTCACTGTATGTTTTACAGCCCTAAAATGGGCATCTGGGGATATCTAACTTTTAAACATCTTAAAGTATTTATAGAATGCATAGTACACTTGACACTTTAATATCGGGTTTACAGTTGTCAAGCTAAAACTGCGTTCTCATAATTTTATCTTTCTTATAGAGTAAGATTTTTTTAAAACCCAATCATTCCATACTTAATTGCCACTGTGAAGGTCTTTTTGAAAAGTGACTTTTATAGAGGCAGTAGCTAATACTTCAGCTGGAATCTTGAAATCTGGTGCCTGTGGTCAACCCATTCGTTAGTATTTTTCAGTATAGGCAGTAAGATAATTTCTTTTCTGTGTGTGCAACACTGTGCCTCAACACAGTCTGGTTGAGAGAGTCTTGCTGAAACTTCACATCCTTCCGTGGTACCCTACTGAAAGCTGGCTGGACTGGACTGCACTTCTTGTCTGGTCAGCTCCATATAGAACAAAAGAAGTGCAGATGTGTGGCACCTTGCCGTGACTGCTTCAGTAGTCTTTATTTTATGCTAATGCTTCCCCCCCCCCCAACCCCCCCCATCCAGTTAATCTCAGTTCAGGACCAACTGATTCTTCAGTGAGCAGCCACATGTGTCCTGAGTATGATAACAGTCCTGTGCCCATGATCCTCAAACACTAACTTTTGCTTGAAATCTCATAGAAAACCTCAAATGAGATTTAATGGCTGCTAGCAAGAAACTTAAATTGCAGCAGAATAGACCAGTTGCAGCTTCAGACTTGTTCTTTATGTAGTAGTGTATTCATCAACCACTCTGTTCCTGAATTTTTCACTTGGGGTTTCATAAGCAACCTTGTTTTTCCCTCTCTTCCCTACCTGAAAATGCTACAAGAGAAACAAAAAACCCCAAAACTCCGGACGCTTCCTACAGAAAGGAGATACTCATGTACTCAGAATATTTTTAAATAAAAACTGAGATGCTGCCTATAATTTTTTCGTTATATTTGCTTTGTGGGGTAAGATTTCCATTGCCCTGTTCAAAGTACTGCTTGTTACCAAAGCCCAAGATAACTGACTTGAATAGGACTTGCAATAACAGAGATGTAAAAATATCACTATCCTTTAAACTACTACTATAAGCTTTCCTTTGAGTGTCTTGACTAAGTATATACAGTATAAAAAAAATGTGATTAAAGTGAATGTTTCCTAAGTATTGGAGGTGTTCCAAAGAATTTTGAAAGTAAAGATTCATGCCCCATCTATTCTTGCATCACCTGTTGCCCCAAGAAGTGGGGCAAATACTCTTCATGGGCATGCTATGTGTATGAACATCAACTGGATAACTTTTAATGTATTATATTGAAATTGAAGCAGGCTAAAGCTTGAAGGGAAGTGCTGTACAGCTGGATCTGTGAACTATGATCTGTGGCTCTTGAACCCTTTGATCACAGTGGTATCTGTGGAGATAGTGTGACCATATTTCACACTAGAAGAGGGACTGCAAACAAGCATGAACTTTATGTTTCATGTAACACTTGTTTTCAAGGATCTTTTACAATAATAGTTCTTTCTGTGAAAAGAATATGCTAATAACACAGGTATGAATACTGAAGTACCAGTTCTGGGTAAGGCTGTATGAAAAACTGCATGGCAAAATAGTTTATGGTGGCTAACATGATGCAGCTTCTACAGCTAAAACTTTAAAAGGTGACTTACTGTAGTTCAGACAACAGACCTTTGGCACATTAGGACAAACATTTTCTATGTGGGACTGAAACTTGGTACATAATGTGTCAGTTTTTGCTGCAAGCTTGTTTGCTGGTTTGATTCTTTTCCCTTCATTCTGTTTCTGAAACCTCAACATTCTTAGTACTTGTCGAAGAATGTGGAATTAGCTATTGCGATGATGCAACATAAGCCTCATTTATTGCACATACGTTAACTGGTGGGTATTAAATTGCCATCAGTACAGAAGTGAACTTAATGTCAGCTGTAGCTTGACTCAGTCAAGAAGGTCTCTACCCTGTTGCTGTACAAGTAAAGAGATTGGTGGTTAACTGTTGCTTTTCGTCCTGTGGTGGTACAGCTGAGCAGTTCTCTGGTGCATCTTGGGCTTTGGGCTTTTACAGTGCCAGAAGGCCTGTGGCTTACTGTCACCAAGTTAAGTGTGATGGGCCTTTATTCACCTTAGGATAAGCAGTCATTAGAAAAGCACAAAGGGATAGCTGTTTTACTGAACTGTATTACACTATAAAAAGAGCCTAGCGTGGCTTTACTATTTTATTATGTTGAATACTTCATACAGTGTATTTTTAATTTAGAAAGTTAACTTTATCAGAAGATACAGGAGGTCTCTTTCTAAGATTGTAGGACTCCTGGTACTGGCGATCTACAAGCATCAGCTGGCTTGGCCTTCTGCAGGATGCAGGGATCTTCACTGTTTTTTCCAAAGTACAACACAACTGGCAAGGCATCATCACATGTGAACCCTGAATAAACAGCGTGACTGCTCTGTATTTTAACTTAAATCTGACTTAAGTTAAAAATCTCTAAAGCTAGTCTTTTAGAAGCTGACTTGTTTAAAAACAAAACAACTGAGTGGTAAATTATGTTTTAGATTAATTACAACACATTGTTGATCAGGAAGTTGGTTTTAAATTTAAGTGCATATTGCACTGTTGGATCATGTAAAATGTAAATGCTTTAAATCTATATTTTGGAGTATGTTGTCACAAATAGTCTTTTTATAACTATTTTATAAAGGCTGACAATACAACTTTGTAAAATAATCCTGAATGAGGATGCAAGTCTTATTTTAAATACTCCTGCTCCTCTGCTTTTAGAAGAACGTAAGTGATATACATAAAAATAAAGATTTTACTTTAGACAGCAATGGAAGTGGTGCATATAATGTATTCTTAGCTCTGTATACTCTGGATGTGTTATTACAGGAGGCCACTACTTGTATTTGGTTTGGCTAGATTTTAATGTATGGTCTAAAATAAAAATCCTTGGCCAACAAATATTTTGTTGGCAGTAGCTGCATATAGCATTCATATCTAGCATACTGTAACTGCAGCCTTAATGGTTTATCCTGTGCATGCCTTGTAGAACTGGGAACTTTTCTGCATAAAGTTCTGAGAACTTGTTAGTTCTGTTAAATGAGGATTAAGAAATAAGCATGAAAAATTAAGGTAGGGACCAGTGAAGGTCTTAAGACCTACATACTGAAAGCAGTGCTGCCTTGTATGAAGTAGTGATGTTGTTCTGCTGTGGCTGTTAAGGCAGGATTTGAATATATGCCTGTCCAAACCTGAAGTTTGCTGAGACTCAAAGAACAGTCTAAGTTTTATCAGCACTATGGTCTTGCAATAAATGGTAAGCAATCAGAAAATCAGCCTATAAAAACAGGTGCAAGTGTTAGGCCTCGGGAACAGCACAATCTCCTTTCATTTCAGAAGTGTCTTGGCACATTGCTGTATCATCGCAGAACTCTGTGTGTTGATAAGCATTGGCCTTATTTGCCATTGTTAAACTAGTCTTAGAGGGTCCATCCTAAGACTCTGTGGTTCCCTCTGGAGCACAGAGGTGACCACAATTCACCTTCTAAAGGTCTCAAAAAGACCTGATTTCTGCCAGAGTAGTATTTCTCAACAGTACAGCAGGGAGGCAGTTGTGTCTCCCATTAGCAGTATGATGAAAGAAGGAAGTCATCAGTCCCCAAGAATTAGCGTCTGCTACAAAATATGGTATTGTACCTGTTCAGACAAGGCATAGCTTGTGACCAAATCAACTCTGGCAGTAATGCTTTTCCAGTGTTACTTCTCTAGTGCTGTCTTTGGAAAAAGCCGTCTGTTTGCTTGTGTGAGAGGCAAGGAGTCTCATTTACCTTGCATAGGGGGAAACAGTTAGTAGAAGATAACAGTAGTTACACTTGGGGCAAGCAAAGTTGATTTTCAACATGCTTACCTTATTCATAACGTCTTCTGTCTTTCTCTTGTATGTCACATGCAAGAAACAGGCACACCTACTCAAGAAACGACTGCTGGCGTGTGTGATGTTAAAAGAAAATGATCAGACAGAATACATGTCCTGTGCAATGCAGCAGAATATTTATTAAACGCTATAGGCAGAACACTTCAAATTAAAATTGGTATACCTCTGAGGTGTGACCTGCATAGCATTTTAGTTTCATTTCCTTTACATCTGATACAAATTTTATCAGAGCATTTGAAAGTTACACCTTAAGGAACAAACTCTTATTGCATACAGAAGTTCATAGAATAATGCAGTACTGTTTTCCAGTCAGCAGTGAGGTAAAAGAGGGCCACCAAAATGATCTGAGGGCTGGAACACCTCTCCTATGAGGCCAGGCTGAGAGAGTTGGGGTTGTTCAGCCTGGAGAAGAGAAGGCTGCGAGGAGACCTTATTGTGACCTTCCAATACTTAAAGGGGGCCTACAGGAAAGATGGGGAGAATCTTTTTAATAAGGCCTGTTGTGACAGGACAAGGAATAATGGATTTAAACTAAAGAAGAATAGATTTAGACTAGACATTAGAAAGAAATTTTTTACACTGAGGGTGGTGAAGCACTGGCACAGGTTGCCCAGAGAGGTAGTGGAGGCCCCATTCCCCTAGAAACACTCAGGGTCAGGTTGGACAGGGCTCTGAGCACCCTGGTCTGGTTAAAGCTGTCCCTGCTCAGTGCAGGGGAGTTGGGCTAGATGACCTCTAAAGGTCCCTTCCAACCCAAAGCATTCTATCATTCTGTGATTCTATGAAAAGTACTGCTTGACAGATGCCAAACTTGCAAGGAAAACTTCTGTACTTCCTTTGCTGATAGAAGAATTGGTTTGTTTTAAAACTGTTCTTTCATTAGACCTGATAACAGCACTAGTTATCAGGAACAGAATTTTTGTTTAAAAATTAAAAAAAAAAAACCAACAAACCCCTGATCAATAGTAATATAATAGCACTGATCAAAAATTTGTATCATCAAAGGACAATGGGACACAGAGAAGGCTCTGTCATTTCCTCAAGTTTCTATTCTCAGGAATAAGTTTTCTACACTTCAGCTGTTGTTTTTTAAATAAAATTGATGTTTGCAAACATTCTGGTTTTGCTATTCTCAGCATTCTTGTCTTATTTTCCTAACTAAAACCTCATGCGTCAAAATACTTCACCACATTCCTTTCCTACATTTTTGGGTTTTTTTGGTCTTGATTTGCAGTCTGTAAGTTTCTGTCTCATTCTGTAGGAAAGTAAATAAATGCCTTAACAATTACATGGGTAGCTATCATCTGCCATCTCACTTAACAGCTCTGTGAGGTAGGAAAGTTAGTATCACCTTAAGAGGCAGAGAAATAGGGGTGAAGGACTCAAATTCTCATAACTAATCTGTGTGCCACTGGTAAAAAACAGGATTCCATGACTCCTCAATCTTAAATTCCGCCATATATTCTTTCTAAATGAAATCAGCCTTAATCATTACTTATGCTCATTCATACAGGTAGTATAACGCATTGTTAAATATTAGTACCTTTTCACCAAAATACTAAAAATAATGAGTTCTTTTAAATAGAATAATAGCTCTTCAAAATACTCTCATTATGTTGTTTATCCATATTACTAAGGTCCTTTCAAGTCAGTTTATATTAAAGTGCTTAGTGGTCAATTATCTTCAGTCACCTGAATTCTGAAGTTACTTAATTCCTTCAGAGTCAGCTGCCAAACACAAGCAGCTTATGTCCATAAAGGCCATATCACTTTTTTTTGCTGCAGTCATCAAAAATTTCACTATTATTTTCAAGATTTGACTGCTAAAGCATAGAACTGACTAGTGCAAATGCTTAGGCACAATTTCAATTAAAATGCATACATTCTTTTTCTGTGCAGAGGCAATACAATGGCATATAGCTTACTCCATCAGTAGGCATTCCAGAGAACCTTAAAAAGGCGCATGTCTGCAAAACATTTGGCAAAAGAACAAAACAAAGGATCCCATATCCCATTTTACAGCATAGTACAATCACAAAGAATTGTCCAACGTGTTTTTGGAGAGTATACTTAAAACTGACCGAGCTAAAGCATTAGTTCTGTTGATACTCAGCCTACCTCCAGAAGTCTACCTCAAGTAGCGTAAGGCTTGAGCACTGTCCCACCTAGCAACAATAGCTAGTATGTTGCTTCATCCATATTGTCATCACTGCCAGCACCAAAGTCATCGCCATCTTCAAAATACGAAGAAATGTAGTCATTTTCCTAAACAAAAGAGAAAAAAAAACCATCTGTTGCTGTGTCTGTGGAGGAGACAATTTATGAAAGAAACATGCTTTAAACTGCATTTGAGCACCCATGTTTTGAAACAGTAATAGGAGTTTCTTCTTATTTCTTGGGAAAGAAAAACACTGTAATGAAGTTCTGGTATCTATGAAAGAAGAGGCATCACTGTTTTAGTGATGAGAATGAATAATTGTACGTACTGATTGTGGCAGGACACACTCCTGCTTGCAAGACTTTTTTTTCGCAAGTCTTTGGGAGTAACAAATCTAAAACACCCACTTAAATTAACTACAACACAGTACAGTGCAACAAAGAAAGTTAAAGTAATAATGCCTCTCACTACAACTCTCTCGGTGTCAGAGAAGCTAGGGACATTTCTTTGGCTGGCAGCCAATGCACTACTCTGAGTGGGATCTGACACTGTGTAAATAGGAAAACTAATATAAAATAAATAAAAAATAAATAAAAATACCTCTTCATGCTCCTCTTCATCATATTCCTCTGGCTCTTCTGCTTCTTCGTCATCCTCACCTTCTTTGTCTTTTGTTTTGTCTTTCTCATCTTCAGATTTTTCTTCTTCATCATCCTTCTTTTCCAACTCCTGTCAGAAGGCAATCTCCTTTACAAAGTAACCCCATGTTACAGCAACAGCACATCCTCCACACTACCAAAATGTTATGCTGCAATTAACCGCAAGACAACTAGTATAACAATGTTGTGCAAATGTTGTTTCTTTTCTCAATATTTAAAACAACATGATGTGAAGTGCAAGAACTTCATAAGGACTTACTTGATTGAGCATTAGCCATCGGACCTGAAGTCTAAAAAAATATGTCTTGCGTAAGAAATTGAGATGATTTCCCTTTACCATCCACTGCTGGAATAACTGACAGTAGAAGGCCATGTCACACTTGATAAAACAATACCACATACTATATATAATAATGTATCTGCACCAAACAACTGATGGATCACCAAGAGAAAAACTACAAGGCTGTTTCACTGTTAAGCTTCGCATTTCCACATGGTGGGTAGCCATCTCCAAAATCAAGGTCACTTTCCTCCCCAGTTTCTCTTTCCATATGCTTCTTCACTCTCAACTTACTAAATTGTTTAATCTCCAACATCAGTAGACTGGCAAAACAGCAACAGATTTAAAACCTCTGGCACCAATTCCTCCTTCAGTAAGCTCTAATACTAGCTCTGCTGCCCACAACTAGGCAACATCACTACCCAGTGAAGAACAATTGGTCTCTCCATTCAAACGAGCCAAGGAAACAGTTTCTCTACACCCAGGCTCTACCCTTATCCTCTCCCTTGTGCTGCCACATTGCAGAACAGTTGTCTGTCAGAGTAACAAGACATGGCCAGAAAAAGGCGGCTCTGGTTATTCCATTTGGTACCAAAGAACATACTAAAGGTTTCCTTTTTCTTCAGCAACTTCTACTGTACAATTTAGAAAGAGTATGCACATCTTACCTCAATTTTTTTCAACACATCCAGATTACTTTGAGGCTCAGAGCTTTTTGTCTTTTTTGGTTTTGCACCTGCTGAAATAAAATATATCACAATTATTTTTTTAATATGGAAGGACACAAGTTCTTATCTCTTACTTGCTCTTAAGAGCTTACATCTTGAGAATGCCATGGAAATCCCATACCGTCTGTATTAAAATGACCTTAGACTTTGAGCTATATCATTCATGGAGGTGCAAATGCCCAACTTATGTAAGTGATGCCTACAGGGCCAGTCTGAAATTCACTTCAAAAGGTTTGGCTGAAGTACAACATTCAGCTTCACAAAATACTTTTCACCTACATACTCACACTATGTTAAGAAACTAGAACAGAATCTCAATTGTTATTTTTCATCATCTTGAAACGATAAAAAACCTCATTAATGTTACCGTTTATGCAACACATTAATGGCAGCTGGGTGCTTCAGGTAGACAGATAAAAGAAGGCAGACAGAAGAGTTTATTAGCTCCAACACAGTAGGCATGGTTACTGCAGCTAGATGGCTTTTGGACCACAGCTGGCTCTCATCTAATGAGTCCAGAGTCCATTATTTTCACCTAGTCCCTTGATCATGAACTCCATCGTTATCAAGTTACCCCCTACAATCTAGCCTCATTATGCTACTTAACTATATGGTGGACTGAAGGTCAAAAATAGCATTCCATATACCCAGGTAAGAGCTACCTGAATTGCAGCATCCTAAACTAAGGGAATAGCTGCCCCAATTCCAGGAGTGCAGTCTGACCAGTAGATGAGGAGAAACAAAGAGCTCTGAACCGAGAGATGTTACAGCCTTCAGAGAGCTCTGTGAGATATCCTGTTTCATTGATGTAACTGCCTTTCAGTTCTCCTGCTATATTCAGCATAATCACATAAAACTTACAACATATGGCTGTACCTACCACAGATTAGCTCTTCTCGGCAGGGTAAAACTGCCAGTGTAATGTGGCATGTTGGTGTAGCTGCACAGCTTCTGATGGACAAGGCAGCTTCAGACAAGCTAGCTCACGTAAGTTGCACCTTTTGCACACTAGGCTGCACTAAGTGTCATCAGAAATAAAAACTGTGTGCATTGACAGAGGGGATATCCTTTCTGGAGCAGATAGTAACCCAATGTGGTTATGTATTTTATCTGGCCTAATACTTAAGGAAGCAGAACACCAAAAGGTGCTATGAAGACAGCTGTGTTTTGTCAAAAGCTTTCGTCATAAATAATGTTCACTTCATTTCAAGGTTTTGCCTAGGAAAGGATTAAGTGACAAAAGCACTGTACAGAGCTGAGGGAAGTCAAGCTGCTCTGTAATAACATATGAACAGCATCAAAGCAAACACATCCAGAACGAAGTAGGCTTTTAAGGAAAACAAGTGGAAAATGCGATTCAAAATTACTATCTCTGCACAAACCCCTGCAGGCTTTTAGAGATAATGCCTACAGAACAAACAGTGTGGAAATGGAAACAGACATGCAAGATCTTTTCTTAAAATGCTGGGCATCTCTGGAGCTTATCATAAAATTAGAGACACTGACCCATTGTTGGTAGAACTTCAAGGAAAATAGCTCCTTACATCCATGTAGCTTTGAGGCACAGTGGAATACAATCTAATTTTTCCAAAAACCTGTTCTCACAGTACTTGGGCTTAAATGCATACATCTGATTGTTATATACATATGTATACAGCTGGCTTACAAGAGCTGAATCCAGTCAACGTTTTGCTGTTTGGGGCTGTTTTTTTGGCAAGCGCTGCTGGTATCTAGGATACTGTGATTCACAGCCCAGGGTAAGTGTGGGAGAAGTGGAATTCTACCCCAAGTTTTGTCACTAAGGGAGCAGGCGGTCGGATCTTAGGTTAAAAGCATTCAAGGAAACTAGAAAGGGGGACGAGAGGTATGTAAAAATGAAGCCGTCCCTCTACATGTATCCGTGTAGTGATCCAAAACCCACTCCTGCAATCTACAAAGGTAGAATGGTAGGAAGCCTGTTTGAATTTCAGTGCAGATCCTCTTGACTCCCTCACCTTTGTTCCATTCGGTTATAAAGAGTCACCTAAGATGGCTGTCCTCAAAATACAATAAAGATATCTACCAGAAGGGCTAATGTGTCACTGATCAGCTATTTACAAATCTCCTGAGTCATATGACTTTTGTATGGCCTTTGTATCATCAGGATTCCCAAAAAAAACTAAACCCAGATGATTTTTGCTTTTAGAGGAACCTATTTTTTTGTCCAATCAAATTCTGATGGTCAGCTGATCTTTGCCATTACAACTATGCAAGAAAATGTACTTTTAAGAGCAAACAGAGAAACTGGCACAAAAGAAAGGGGAAAAATCCCCCACAGTGAGCAGTGATTCTCTCTTTGTTTATGATAATCCAACTTTATTGTAACAAGGAATAATAAGTCAGCATTTATGATTTCATTGGATCTTGGGGAGCTAGTTATTGCACACAGGCTTATAAAAGCCAATGCAGTTTCTTCTTTCAGAAAAAAAGTACGTATGTACTGGTTTCATCTTTAGAGATTTTGCAAATAAGTATTTAATTTTCAGTTGAATCTTGCAGTCTACCTTTAGTACCATGCTTCTCAATGACACTCTTAAAAGGAACAAAGCTTCCAGCTGAGCCAGTCTCCATGGCTACTGCACATTCCCTTTTCTATTTTATCTTTGAACTGAAAAATGACACATGAAGGACTTGGACAAAGAGAACAAGAAAGTAAACAATTATATATAACAGACAGCTAGATACAGGAGGCCAAGTGTTACTTCACATCAACAGAGCAAGAGACTTCTACAGGAACTTAAAATAATGGTCATGCATACTAGAAAACACTTTGAAAAAAACGAATACATGTACGATGCTGTGTAATAAAAAAGTTTTTTCCTGTAAGAACAACCAATACCAGCTCCAACTGCTGTTGAAGGATCTGGTTCACAATTCTGCAGAAGAAAGCTGAAAATAAACAAAAAAAGTAAAACCAGGGAAAATAGAAAATAACCTACATTAAATCACATATAAAAGGCTTAAAAAAATGCAAAATCATAAACAAGATAATTGAGAAACCCAAAATATAAAGGAAGTCTGAACAGACAGCTATTCATTGAATAGAAGAAGGGTGAGTGTTGACTAAAGATACAAACTTTCAAACCAAAAATTTTGTGGTATTTTTAATCTTTCACTGTTACATATCTCATACGTTAATATAGTTCATCAATATGAAAGGCAGGAAAGGAAGATAAATCTGTTCCAGTAAGTTAAAACATCCTACAGAAGCAAAGCAAAAACCACAAAAGACAGGCAGACTAGCAACTTATTTAGAAAAAAATCTGCCAAAAGTCCTGATTATTTGGATTAATTAACATTTCTACAATTTTTTTTTCCCCTAACCAGCTCCAGTATGTCTTCTATCACTCAACCATTGTACTAAACGCTTCTTAAAAATATATAATATACCTTTTTTGGTCTTTTTCTTTGGCTTCATCTCTCTCGGGAGTCTTCTCCAATCTGTACAGAAAATAGCTTTAATATATATGAATGATGATTTACAGCAGTAATCCTCCCCCCATCACCCACCAAGGAAAGGTAGGGGCCCCTGTTGTGCTTGATCCTATTTACATGCATGCTGAAGTAGCTGAGCACACAACAGTTTTATGGAATTTTAGCTGTACTTTAAATTGAGGGACTAGAGTGAGGACTGGCATTTCACCCACTTAAGGACAACTGGCATCTGCCCCAAAGAGATAAAGTTCAGCCCTTCCAGTGGCCTACATGCCCTTCAATTTACATTCTATAATTAAGTTTGCAGTAGTGAGCTATACAGATATAGTTGTGGAAGTTTAATGCTATAAAACCCAGCTACCTGTGACTGAGACATCAGCTTGGGTTACTTTTAGTAACATCCTACTTCCAGTTCAAAACTGCTATCTGCATGGCAAGTAAGGAAGAAGGAAAGCTAGAGTGAGAGCTAAAGCTTGCATTTTTGCTGCAAATCAGTTGTTTCAACTGAGTAAATAAATTAAATCAGATTTTTTCCTTTTTTTTTTGACAATAGTTTGCCTTGATCTGAAAATGTGCAAAGGGCATAACTGTGAACAAGGAATACATGACTTGGTAAGGATTTGCATACTTTTTTATTGCTTGAAAAATGATGAGTCAAACATTTAAAAGAGCAGAACATTTCACAGGTTAATAAAGAATCAGCGTTTCATAATCTCAGATATTACCTGGGGTCCACATTGCATGCTCCTTTTCACTGTCGTGGTACTTTCTACTGTACCTCTCAATTGCTATAGAGAAGGATACAAAGAGTTACTGAATTCAATTAATTAAAAAGGCAACCCAGACACTGTCCTTGATATTCTCCTGTAACTAAACATACAGTGTATTTTTATAATCCCACATTGAACACTTTCTTGTGCTGTTGTCAAACACTTAAAAAACAGTTTCATGTCACTACCTTGAGCAGTTCTCATGATAATCCCCAGGACTAATCATTTGCTAAGCACTTGCAAGACCTGGATTTTACATACCCCAGAAAAGGCAAAACCCCTGAATATTGCTTTGCATTTTTGGGGTATCTCCTTTCAATCAAAACACTATACACACACCCCCACCCTCCCCCCCAGAAAAAAAAACCCAAACCCAACCTCCAAAATTACTGTAATTTATATTTCTATCCTTGGAAAGCATGAAAACATAAAATGCAGATATACTCAGGGAAACTAGGTTGAAACATCAAATGAATGCTAACTCTTCCACTCTTCAACAGTTTCACAATCAAACCTTTGCTACAAAACCAGTCAGTGACATTTGTCACCACTGTGCTCATCATAAAGAGTATCCAGAATTCCCAAGACTCAGGTGGCTGCGTCTCAGACTGATCACGATCAACTCCCAAGAGTTTAAGTACTTCTGCGATGGCAAAGCTTTGCAGCATAGCAGAGATGTGTCCTCAACAGCAGCAACACATTTTAGTCCATTTAACCTCTCTCCAGGCACAAGAACTAAACTGAGAAATTAACTGTACGTAATACAGTAGTTATACAGTGAAAGTACATCCATTTATCCTACTGCAAAAAGAAATTCTTATACAACTCTAATGACAAAAGCAATATCAAAACTTAAGTATTTTTAAATCAGTCCCATTTTTTCTTACCAGATTACCATGGCTAACTGAAAAATCCACTTAACACAAAATTACTGATTCTAATTGCAGTAATAACTCATTAGCCAAACAGGGATCATTTTTGTGGGTACTGTACAAAAAATGGTAACATAGGCAGACCGTAACCTTTACAGTCAAAGACTTCTAACATACTCACCAGAGAAAAGGAAGGGAGACAGAAGATATCAGAAATGAAGCTCAATTTTAAACTTAGTTATGATGAGGGCAGGCAGAAGACCTGCTTAAAACTGTGCAACAAAGAGCTTGCATTTAAAATGACAGTGTCTCAAGGGGCATTTAATGTAGGTGGCCTTCACAGATGCTGCAGGAAACTGTCAGCAGAGAGAGGGAAAGAAACTAGTAGTTTTTATTTCAGCTCGAAGCTCCTCCTCCTAGTGAGGAGCTAATTGCAGGTGCCATCAGTAAAAAAATACATCTGATTGTCTCTCACCCCTCACAGCTAATGAATTAATTCCAGACCACTGCCAAGGTGACAGTCACCCAGTCACAGCAGATATACCTACAGGAAAACTATGAATGATTCATAGCTTATGAAGAGAGGAAAGTAGAGAACTTACTACAGAATAAGCCTGCTACTCACTCAAAATGAGTGTTGAAATGAATGATGAAAAATCTGTTCTATATGGCACGCTAACGCATCAAAATTGCCAGGCAATATCACATATGCTTTTCATTTACTACCCGAATAATGAAAGATAGCTAGCTAGCTATGTCCTAACTAATTAAAGGGTTTCCCTTCTCACACTTCAAAGGACCATTTGGCTCACAGATGTTGTACTGAGGGTTTACAGCAATCCATTCGCTCTTGTAGCAAAGCCAATTTAAGAAGTTCCTGCCCACCGTCCCCTTCCTGCCTCTCACTTATTCCTAGCAGATGTTTTGATGAAATACAGGGGAGGAAAGGGCTGTAAACCAGATAACAGAAAAGATCAGTTAAAAATAATCTACTTTGGGGGAAGAAAGTGACTTTCTTAAAGCTAGGCCACTTCTGCCTCATAATGCAGTCCCAGATACAACTGCATACTGTGACTGAGATTAAAGCAAGCTTTTTAAGCTGCAGACCACCGCGATGTAATCATACCCCACCCCTCAAATGAGGCATTTTTGTACAACTAGAAGTTCAGTAAAAAGTTACCTCAACTTACCAATTTACCCTTGGGGAGAAAACAAGAACATCTGAGACATTATTTGAGTCTATCAAATGGCTGTCTACCTGCTTTTCCTGCAACTGCCAGTTTTTGTAGAAAAACAGTCTTCAAAGCTGGCAGTTCTATTAAGGAGCACGCTCAGCAACAGAGAGAGATCACTCCACCTCAGAAAGGCGGCTGCAGAAACAAAGACGATTTTGCGGTGAACAGTAAGAACGATCACGTGAGCCGAAGTTGGAAGAGAGAGATAACATGTTCTCATACAGTGGCTAGTTCCTTGGAAATAACCCTGACCAGCTCTCAGGCACATCAGTTTCCTTTCTTGTGCCTCAAACAGAAATAGCAAACTTCAAGCCTGACAAAGATCAAGAGCACAGCAAGCCTCTGGTGAGATAAGAACCCAAAGAGATTGAAATTTGTTTACTCAGAAGATCAAAGAGGAGATATGATAAAAGAGTAATTTGGAATTCTTCTACCATCATAAAGGGATCTAGAAATGAAGATCAGATCTGTTCTCCTTGCCTCAAAACCAAGGTTTTACCTGGCCGCACTGTCAGGGTCCACCCTGGGCTGTCAGCTTGTGCTGCACTACAGCTGCATGCTGCGTCCCGGTGACTGCTGGGCTCCAGCTGCAGGTCAGAGGAAATATTCTGCCTTTTGTGAGCCACAACGTCTGGTCGGCAGTGTGTTCACTGCTCGTACTGCAGAGTGCTGCTCCATTTTAAACAGTGCTTTAGTACAAGAACAAGTGGACAATCAATAAGGTGTGTTAATCAGTGTTACATTCAAAGCCTAATAAAAAAAAAATGCACAGTCTTAAAAACCTCTAGAGTTCACCACTACACCATGAACAAAAATTACCAAGAATTCAGAGGGGATTGGACTATGTACCTGTATAGTATCTACATCATGAATATTCAGTCAGAAAATATTCTGACGGTTTTGGGGTGGAAATTAAACCTCACATTCCAGAGTTCAAGTCAGCTCTCATTATTCAAAGTCAGCACAAGATAGCAAGGAAAAGATTATCCAGTGTTTGGCCACTTCAGATTTATTAAACATTTTTATAAAGCTTTTTAGCGACTGCCTATTGCCAGTCTGGGCAATTGCCATGGCTGACTGGGCCTAGGGACTGACTCATGTGGCATCTCCTAATACGTTATATTTCCTGTTTTCCTGTAGCAGCACTTACCATTTATACTATTCAGAACAAGCACTCAGGAAGATGACAGAATTAGGCAAAAACGACTAACAGAAAGAAACACTCCTCAACAGCAATACCCTCCTGTGACTGCTAGCTTTAAAATACCCCACAGCAAGGTAAACAGGCGTTGAAGCCTTCCTACCCTGCTCCCCTTTCCTTCTTTCCCACTAGCTCATTTTCAGACCAGGAAGCTTGGATTTTAACAGTATAACCATGTCAAGTATAGTAGAGAATTTATTGTTATCAAACAGTAACAGAGCAGTTAATTGTTAATTACATATAAGCAAAAGACATTCTTAGGTCAAATAGAATAAGATCAAGCTTTGGCTTCTAATCCAGATCTGCTTCTGATGCAAACTTCAGTAAATTGCTTATCCTCATCTCAGTCTCTGTATTTCAGGTGACTTGCCAGTAATACTTACCAAACTTCCTGAATGGACTTAGGGAAAAAAAGTTAGTACCTTTTAGAATGTCCAGCTATTAAATATAACACTGATTATTTTAAATATGTCTTTATACAATTAAAATGGTAGCTGAATTTCAACACTGGTACTTATTACAGATTTCTTTGCTCCAATGCAAAATTTTTAGGGTATTTTAACATGTAGAAGTGCCTATTTCACTTGTATTGGTTAGCATGTAATTGAAAAGACTGCATATAGTTGGGCTATATGTTTCTTACTGTGTATCAAATGGAATAGATGTTTGGTACCTCTCTTTTTCAGATAGTAGTTGCTTTCCAGTTACAGCACTTGTAATTGTGACCTGCAACTTCAGTAAGTGTAAAACCAGAAAAATCCCCTATTATCTCAAACTGCCAATTTTTATTCCTCATTATCAGTACAAAATACATTTTCAACACATGCACTTCACTATATCATCCTTCATGGAATAGTAACTACTGAAGATAAATAAAAATAAAAAGCACACAAACAAACCTTCACGATCTTCTTCTACTGCCAAAAAATACGGCATTTTTTTCATAGTTCCTCTAAGATCTTGTTTTAAGGCCAACATGTAATCTTCATCTTCTCCTGTTTTCAGAGGCACTGGCTTATTGTCTGTACTCTGTACAAATTATGTTTATTATTTATAAGGTCTTAATATCCAACAAAACTATGCATTATGCTACTTTGCAAGTACACTTTATTGCATTCTGACATACATAACTATGTTTATAACTAAATTTATACCTTTTACGACTTCGCTGTACCTTTCTGCAAAAATACGTCAAGAAATCAAGAAAAAAAAAGTATTAAAACTGTGAAATAGTCATTCATAGTCCTGTTAAGCTCTTCACTGCCAAAAGCAGTTTTTCACACCAGCCTAACTCACTTGGAAGCCATTGCTTCTCTCGTAAGTCAGAGTAGCACTGGCCATAACCTCTTCTAAAACAGTGTTTTGACTACACTAAGATTACTCTGAATAACGTGGACACCCTTTCCATGACTATCGTCCCAGACACAGGTTGTACTGTCATACAACCAGGTAGCACACAGGCCCTCATACAGTTCAGTTTCTGTCAATTGAATTTAAACAAATTGTTAAAGTTTGGATTTTGGTTTTTTTTTTTTTAAACTATGAATCTTGAAATTGGAAAGATAACTAAGCAAAAACAGTTTTAAAAATATACAGAAAACTAGAGCCAGAGTCAGCATTACAGAATAGATGTTGTTTCTCTCACATGACAGACGGTCACAATCTACCTACCTGAGTGGTAGGCTGCAAGCACAAAGTGCTATCACAAGTCCCAGAGCTGGATCACAAAAGGAGCTTATTGCTTCCAGCTGTATTTGCTAGCTGGCCAGCATTTTAAATCAGTAATGTTGCTGATGGTAAGCTGAAGCTTCTTAACTGGGCTTCTAATTGCATTTACAGGTTGTTAAGAACTCAAAAAGTAGCTACTAGAAGTATGTAATAGCAACAGTTCACTGCTTAAAATAATTTCTGTGGAAGTCAGTCAACAACTGTGATATACTGTTGGTCACTGCCCAATTATTAAATCTAACTCTTGAAATTTTTATCAATACTAGTTATGCCACTGGGTTAACTTTGATTTTTTTGAACAGCACCAGCTTTCCCCTGAAAAGTTTAACTTAGTTCTGAAAGTTTGTTCACAGACGAAGAAAACATCTTTAACCTCTCCATGGTATACATCAGATACACTGGGGCTAGTAATTCTCCTACAAGGCTGATCCACTGCTGACTCTAACTGCAGAAGCTGTAGCTCACACAGAATTCCATTTCTTTGTGCTATCAAGCAGGCTGCAACATTCATGTTAGGAACAGTTACAGATGGCTTAGTATCAATGAAATCACACAACCCAATTGTAAAGGTTTACTAAGAGGATATGTAACATCTGGTTCAGTAAGTCAAACACCTCGGGTGAAATAACTATTCAGAAATCTCAGCATAGCACCAATTATATTCCAAACTTGCAAGTTTTGTATCATAGCATGTGAGACTGAGAAAAATTTCATGCACCTTGATCAAATCCTGACATAACTGGGAAGTTCTCTTATATAAAACTGTGACACTGTTAAGATGACTTTTCAGCCTCAAAATTGTCTAAGCTTCCCTGCACTGCAAAACTCAGTCAGAAAATGCTTTTCTCCCCTTTAATTTTCAAACACATCCCAAATACCAAATCTGTTTCCTTAATTACATAAAATGTCTTTCAGTTATTTTCAAATTCTGACTACTGAGGTACAAGACAATCATCCAAAATTTTTTATGTTTGCATCAACAGTAAATTTCTAAAATCAGTAAATCAGCTTCAAAGACTAGTGTAACTTCATTTCCAGCAAATTCAGATATCCAGTGCTCCCATTACTGTAATGTCCAGAAAACCAAATCATGATGATACCTTTAACAAACCAACATCTTGCAAGCCATCTAGTTAAATACGGGATACAACAGTCAGCAAAGGGACAGGAAGTAATAATGTAAGTAATTGTTTCTCTTATTAAATGCTTCAAAATTGACCTGAAGCGCTTAGGGTTGTTCGTATATTTCATCTAAACTCGACACTGAATACACTTTACCTGCACGCAGAGAGTGTGCTCTAAGATACTTGCTGTACTTACAGGAAATGGAGGTGGAGGTGTACACATGACATCAGGTAGAGCTGCACCTTTAGCAAAGCCAATAGCCTCAATGTTGAAGGTAAATGCAGCACGTCCTCTTCCTCTACCTGACCCAGCCATTTGGAGTTACTGAAAATATTACAGACGTTTAAAGATGGGGTTTTTTGTTAAATGTATCAAATACATGTATGTATTGCCTGTAAAATTAATGTCTAACAAAGATTACAGTAATTTTAAAACCTCTTTCAAAGATCATTTTAAACAGCAAGCCATTTTTTAATCATAGAATCATTTAGGTTGGAAAAGTCATTAGTTGGAAGATCATCAAGTCCAACTGTTAACCTAACGCTGCCAAATCCACCACTAAATCATGTCCCTAAGCACCACATCTACGCATCTTTTAAATATCTCCAGGGATGGGGACTCAACCACTTCCCTGGGCAGCCTCTTCCAACGCTTGACAACCCTTTCTGTGAAGAAGCTTTTCCTAATATCCAATCTAAACCTCCTCCAACGCAGCTTGAGGACATTTCCTCTTGTCCTGTCACTTGTCACCTGGGAGAAGAGACTGACCCCGACCTCACTACAACCTCCTTTCAGGCAGTTGTAGAGAGCAATAAGGTCTCCCCTCAGCCTCCTCTTCTCCAGGCTAAACAACCCCAGTTCCCTCAGCCGCTCCTCATAAGGCCTGTGCTCCAGACCCTTCACCAGCTTCGTTGCCCTTCTCTGAACACGCTCCAGCACCTCAATGTCTTCCATGTACTGAGGGGCCCAAAACTGGACACAGTATTCCAGGTGCAGCCTCACCAGGGCTGAGTACAGGGGCACAATCACCTCCCTGCTCCTGCTGGCCACACTGTTTCTGATACAAGCCAGGATGCTGTTGGCCTTCTTGGCCACCTGGGCACACTGCTGGCTCATGTTCAGCTGGCTGTCAACCAGCACCCCCAGGTCCTTTTCTGCCGGGCAGCTTTCCAGCCCAAGCCTGTAGCGTTGCATGGGGTTGTTGTGACCCAAGTGCAGGACCCGGCACTTGGCCTTGTTAAACCTCATACAGTTGGCCTCAGCCCATCGGTCCAGCCTGTCCAGGTCCCTCTGCAGGGCCATCCTACCCTCCAGCAGATCGACACTCCCACCCAGTCTGGTGTCATCTGCAAACTTACTGAGGGCGCACTCGATCCCCTCATCCAGGTCGTTGATAAAGATATTAAACAGAAATGGCCCCAATACCAAGCCCTGGGGAACACCACTTGTGACCGGCCGCCAACTGGATTTGACTCCATTCACCGCAACTCTTTGGCCCAGACATCCAGTCAGTTTTTTACCCAGGAAAGAGTATGCCCATCCTAGCCATGAGCAGCCAGTGTCTCCAGGAGGATGCTATGGGAAACCATGTCAAACCATGCTTTACTAAAGTCCGGGTAGACAACATCCACAGCCTTTCCCACATTCACTAGGCAGGTCACCTTGTCATAGAAGGAGATCAGGTTAGTCCAGCAGGACCTGGCTTTCATGAACTCATGCTGGCTGGGCCCGATCCCCTGGTTGTCCTGTACATGCCATGGGATGGCACTCCAGATGACCTGCTCCATAACCTTCCCTGGCACCAAGGGCAGACTGGCAGGCCTGTAGTTCCCCAGATCCTCCTTCTGGCCCTTCTTGTAGATGGGCATCACATTTGCTAACCTCCAGTCATCAGGGACGATTGGGTGGGTCCCATCCAGCCCTATACATTTGTGTGCGTCTAAGTGGTGTAGCAGGTCACTAACCATTTCCCCTTGGATTATGGGGGCTTCATTCTGCTCCCCATCCCTGTCTTCCAGCTCAGGGGGCTGGGTACCTGGAGAACAACTGCTCTGACTATTAAAGACTGAGGCAAGGAAGGCATTAAGTATCTCAGCCTTTTCCTCAGCCTTTGTCACTATGTTTCTCCCCTGAATCCAGTAAAGGATGGAGATTCTCCTTAGCCCTCCTTTGGTTGCTACTAGAAACATTTTTATTGTCTTTTACAGCAGTAGCCACATTAACTTCTAGTAGGGCTTTGGCCCTTCTCATTTTCTCCCTGCATAACCTCACGACATCTTTGTAGTCCTCCTGAGTTGCCTGCCCCTTCTTCCAAAGGTCATAAACTCTCCTTTTTTTCCTGAGCTCCAGCCAAAGCTCGCTGTTCAGCCAGGCCGGTCTTCTCCCCTGCCAGCTCGTCTTGCGGCACATGGGGACGGCCAGCTCCTGTGCCTTTAAGATTTCCTTCTTGAAGAACTTCCAGCCTTCCTGGACTCCTTTGCTCTTCAGGACTGCCTCCCAAGGGACTCTGTCAACCAGACTCCTAAACAGGCCAAAGTCTGCCCTCCAGAAGTCCAAGGCAGCAGTTCTGCTGACCCTCCTCCTTATTTCTCCAAAAATTGAAAACTCTGTCATTTTGTGATCGCTATGCCCAAGACGGCGTCCAACTGTCACATCACCCCACAAGTCCTTCTCTGTTCACAAACAACAGGTCCAGTGGGGCACCTTCCCTAGTTGACTTGCTCAACAGCTGTGTCAGGACGTTATCTTCCACGCACGCCAGGACCCTCCTGGAGTGCCCATCTCATGTTCTTCCACATGCTATAAATTTTGTACATGCCTAAAATCAGTTCTGTTCCCTCATTTCTCCTAGCCACCTCTGCATGCCTGAAATTACCTCCTAATCTACGAGTTTTAAACTTTCTTCTTCTAAACCTTAGATACACTGACTTGAGTTCAATCAGGGTACAAGAACCAGAAAAAACACAAGATTAAAAAAAGAAAAAAAGAAGTTCAAGGACCTTGAACTTTTTGTGAAAATGTTTTACAGTTTCTCAGCTTTTCTCCAAAAAACAGTTTGTGTTTGCTACTCATGGCTTCTTTGTCCTTCAGATTTTTTTTTTCCCCCTTTACCTTTGTAACTATTTTTGGGTACTGAGAAAGAGCCAAAAGCAAAGAGGTTCCAGATGAAACCATCAAAGGACTTTTCTTCACAACAGCTCTCTCTGCTCCACTCCAGCACATCTGCAAGCTAACTGCTGATCAAAGGTGGTTGTTTCTAACTAAAATATTTCACCAAGGATGTAAAAGAAAAATAGCCTGCAAAACTACATTTACAGTCACATCTCACCGCCCTCACTGTTACACCTATCTCCACCTCAGGACTGTATGACCCATGGGTTGGCAAGTAAAGCAAAATGTGAGAAACATGGTTTTTTTGCAGGGGAAGGTGTCACGAAATGGGACCCGAGTGACGCCTGGCTGAAGCAATGTGCTACTGCTCACTCCCCAAGACCATGTAAAGATCACCCCAAGGCCTCAGCCCAGAAATCCCATATGCTGTTTACCATTAATTGCAAGGTTGTTATTGCACCCTGCTGGGTAAGAACGTGCCTGCTCCAGACTTACTGCTGTACCTGTATCATCACAACTATTCCCACCATTAGTGTGCAGGTGAGGTAACAAGTTCAAACAGGAACTAAGAAACAGCACAATAACTACAGCTTCTCATACACTTGTCTAAAATAACAAGAAATCCAGGAAAGAATTATGATTAGGAGCAAAGAAATGCATACTTAAGATTAAGATCTTTTAAGATTCCCCCAGATGGAAGCAATAGCCTTTTTCTTAGATGCTAGTGAAAACTAGGTTGATGAAAGTATTTTCCTACTTATTAATTTCAACAAGAATAAGCTGTGCTCGGATAAAACAAAATCACATTATGCATCTCCACATCACTCAGCAGCACAGAAAACTGTCTAAAAATAAGGAGAAAGACCCAAATAAATCATTTTAAGAAAGACAACAAAGCTAAATCTAAGCCAGAACATTTAATTAACTGGAAATAAAAAAAAAAAATAGCAAACTCATTTGAAAACAGGATGAAAATCAAGATGTGAGCCTGGTAGAATGGAGAAAGAGAAAAGATACAGTAAAGCCCCAAACATGAGCAATTATATTACCTATGTGTGAAAAAAGGGAACCAACAACAGAAGAAAACAAAGAAAAAAAAGTTAAGGGAGATGTCCAGCTAGCGAGGAGAGGCACACTGTTTGCATTACATATGGTGAATGCAAGGGTCCATTTTTAAAATGCTGCTTTCAAATTAATTCTCGGTAAGATTTTCTTGAAATAGGCTGATGAGAAGTAACAAGCTTTAAAACTGGTGGTATTTCAACTCCACAGTTTTACTGAAACTCCTGATTTTTTTTTGAGCATACCACAAAGCCACAGTGACAGATGACCGGAGAAACGGTGAAGGAAAAGTTGAGGTGTACAACTAAGACACCGAGCGTGACAAAGTTCCCGCAACAACTAGTGTTCTGGCTGCCAGGAGGGATGCCTCATGGCACACCTGGACACGTCTGTGTTTAGGGACAGTTTGTGTGTCATTTACTCTGTAAACAAGAAGGCAAATTTCAGATTTATGCTTTTAAAATTCCTTTGAAACTACGTACACTGTCGCTTGCGCAGTCAGTCAGGGGAAGGCTGCAGAGGCCTGTGGGAGGGAAAGGCCCGTGGAAACGCGGTCCCCGCTGGCTGCAAGCTGGCTGGCACGATGGCGGCGGGCGTGAGAAGCCTCAGGGCTCGGTGAGCTCTCGTTATCCTACGTTCTCCTCAGAACACAACTCGGTTGTGTCCGGATCCTTGCTTTCCAGCGGCGGGTGCAATCAGAGGAAGGGAAGAGCAGATATAAGAGAAAGGAGTGACATTTAAACACGGAGATTCTGGGGTTTGGTTTGGTTTCCCCCCCACCTGATGCCCCTGAAGGTACCAGGGTGTAAACCTTAGTCACGAC